AACAGACCGGTTCAGCTCCACTGCCACATTTTTGTTCACATTTTATTCCTATTTACAATTCATGTTTGTATCCCTTTATTCTATTATTGTTGTTGTTATTATTATTATTAGGGAAATAATCTGGATTAAGCCATTAAAGATCTACCAAAGATCAGCTGCTGATAAATAGAAAATCTACTGGAGAATGTTATTTTAAAACAACGAGCATTTACAGTATGTGTGGAACAAAGTAAACAGTTCTACATTTTTGTCAGGACTTTTGTCCTGTTTTCAGACGTCTCCTTCAACAAATGTGTCTAATGTGAAAGAATAATATTATTTTGTTTAGAGATGTTTAGTGAAACAAAGTGACAGAGTGATTGTTATTGCTCCATCTTTATGGTGGACCAAAACAGCCACACATACGTCCTTCTGTGTCTGTTCGGCACTGTCGATTCCTCCTGTGCGTTTCATGTTACTTTTTCAAACTTTTTGAATTTATTAGCAAAAGAATACCAATCATCACCTCAGTATAAGGAAAGATTAACGTTTTTTCTATCCGATGGCACCGCATATGAAACAGTGGGACACGAGCACATTTTAATTAACACATAATGCAGCACGCACAAGCACAAATGCTGGCAACGACGATGGGTCACTTACATAGGTTATGTTCTGGGCTCTACAAAGGTTCCCTGCAGAATAACTCACAATAGAAGTGTTGGCCTACAGTCAGGAGACGCCCAGAGAAATGTGGCACTTAAATAAAATATAAGCAAATGATCTAAATCTGAGAATTAGCATAAATATAAATAAATACACATGACATTTAAAACAAATGCTTCATTTTATTTTAAGAATATTTTTGGTGTTTCTTCTTGGATTTTCTTTTATTATAGCAGCTTGAATCCTCTGTACATCTAAAGTATTATATCTGCTAAAGGCCATTTTTATCCCGAGGGCCAACTTGACCTGAATCTCTCACAGCCAGGCTATCTGCCTCTCTCGTGCTCATTCTGATTGTCAGCCCTCACCGTTTCACCTTTTTGTTCCCTCTTTTGTCCCATCCTGTTTCTGGCTCGTTTCAAAGTGTGTGACACTGTGGTGTGGTGTAGATTTGCAGTCTGGTCAGACAAAGCAGTTAATTGTAAATCAATGAAAGGACAATCAACTGTGTGCTGTCTGTTAGTCTCCTTCAAACACACAGCTGGCTGTGAATGAGTTTAAAAGCTTCAAGCAGCCCTGCCTCTCTCTGGCCGTTTTCAAGTACACTGTGGCTTTTTATCCAAAAGGGGGTAGCGCTCCACAGATAACAGTAAATCAATGGGTCCGCTAGCAGCCCCATCTTGAACACAGATGGGAAAAGCTGAACATCTTCAAATAGCCAGTCAGGCGCTGAGTGAGCGCAAGAATAAATCAATCAATCAGTCAGTGACAAGCCATTAATCCCTGTGCCGGCTTTCAGTCAGCTACATTAAAGAAGTAGAAGGAAAAGGGGGTGTTGAAGGAAATGAACAGAAGACAGTAAAAGAAGCCACAGAGATAAAGATTAGAGAGACCTGTCAGATAAAGAAAAGCAAAGCCTGCTGGTCAGCCTAAAAAAAAAATCTATACTTTACTCCTGTTTTTTTCCAGCTTGAAAAATTAAGCCTTATTTAACAGAGTCAGCAGAACAATTACGTTCTCAGAGGTCAGAATGAACAACTTTAACTGCCATTTGCAGTTTTTGTAATTTTTCAGCCAACATTACAGGGTTTTATTAATGAACTCAAACAGTGTTTTTTGCTAAAGAATACGTGAGTCCTAACAAATATACTGACACAAATGTTGCTGCTGTTATAAGATTAGACAATATAGTCTGAAAAATCTATGGTTCTAAGAGTTGCATATAGACCATACCAGCAGGTTCATATTATTCTCTATTCAAAGGTGCAAACGCGTCTCTATTACACCAGGTTTCTGACCTGTGTGTCTCACACACACAGACACTCTATTTTGGTGTAAGCAGAGTACCCCAGTCTTTAGTTCCACCAGCACCATCTACTGTGCACAAAGATAAAATGAGAACGCAAAGAATCAAGAGGCAGATAGAGAAATGTACAAGAACAGATAGTAGTTCGACTAAAATCATGCAAGTCTCTGTAGTGTTAAAGGTCACACGTTTTACTTTCTCCTTGTTACAGATAAGATTCACTGCGGTTTGACACTTGCACATAAGCAGGATATGCTATTTTCATCTGGTATATGTAATCTGAAGCATCAGATCTCTGCTATATCGGCACTGTGATTATTGCAATATCACTGTGTCTCCCTGCCTGCTTTTTAACTGCCAATAAACTATTTAAGTCTCTCTTCTTACAAAATACTCAAACTACTCATTTAGTTTGTAAACTAAATCAAACCAATTTACCATTATGACTAATGTAATCATGATGTTAGAGTAAACCATGTCACTAGAGGTCACTGCCGTTCTCAAAGTAAGGTGGTCACACTTGTATGTTTAGTCAACAGCTTATTTCTGCCTTGAGTGTGAAGTGACTGTGTGAAACAGTTCACAGCTTACTGGGACTTCTAACAATGCTTCAGAAGACCAACAGCCAAGTCTGGGATTTTAATTGGAACCACACAACTGCACACTTTTATGAGTTTCCTTTTAACCATCATTGGGCATGGTCGTAACAGTGTGGGTTTCAGGTTCTGTGACATGTACGAGTTTCTGTAACGTTTGCGAGTGGCTTAAAAAAGGCAACATGTCCAACAAAACCGATTCTCTCAGCCATCTTTAGCACTCCCTGAATGAAGCATGGGAGCATAAAATTCAAAGATCAGTCATTTACATCATGAAACGGTCTACATATAGAAGGCAGTACAGAAGATTCTGCTGAATGTCCTGTTATGACCTTGATCTTAAGTATTCAGAGGAAAGTCAAATCCAGGAACTTGTTACATCATATTACATCATTTAGGTCACGCAGATTGTTAGCGAAGGGTTTCCAACTAAGCTCGATCCTACACGAGCATCTTCTTTCAGTTCCTAGCAATGGGAAATAACTGAAATTCCAGACAGCTTTGTTGTAAAACTAACCTCGCTATCCTGTTGCTGTTCTGTGTTTGTGTTAAGAAACACGTGAGTGACTGTGTGGGTATGTGCATGTGCATGTGCATGTGGGTGTGGGTGTGTGTTCTAGTGCATCAAATTACACATAGATCTCTTTAGCACAGTCCCAAAGATAGTGTCCAGAGTACAATAGAACAGAATCTATGCAACAGTCACTCAACAACATTTTGGGTGTTAAAACCTGAAACAATTGATGTAATATATTTTGATATATTTTGACAGTGGCATAAGCTGAAAAGAGGGAAGTATATAAGAATAGAAAAAGCAGAACTACATTCAGAATACCATATGACAATATTTTTCTATCTGCAATAAAGTTTAAGTGTGGTTTTTGTTTCGTTATTGCAACAGAACTACAGACGGTCTAACGACTGAAGAGAACAGAATAGAACTGTAACACAATACAGCTGTGGTCAGATGTTTACATCCACTCATCGGGCATGAATGCCATGGTAATTCTTTTTCCACAGTAGAATGACTGTACAGCCTACATATTTAATGAATTTAAAGAAACAAGTTTGAATTCATTTTGAATTTTCTCGAATCCACACAAGGTCAAAAGTATAAACACAGACTCAAATATATACATAGACTCCCACTAATGTTTGGTTGGTGGTGCAAGTTGCACATCAACCAGATGTTTTTGCTAGGCATCAACAAGCTTCTGGCATAATTCTAGTTGGATATTTGAGCAACTTCATTTAAACTGGTTGGTTTCCGGACAAGGACCAACCGTTTAAGAACTCTCCAATAATTTTCAATAGGTTGGTGGTCGGGGCTTTAGGAAGGCCATTCTAAAACCTTAATGTTAGCCTGTTTTATCCACTCCAGAACCTAGCTTTGGTGTGTTTGGGCTCACTGTCCCGTTGGAACAACCACGTTTCACCCTTCTAACTGCTGATGTGAGGCGAAGTGGACGAATTTGGAAGTGGTCATCCTTTTTCATTATTCCATCCACTTTATGCAATGTACCAGTACCACTGACAGCAAAACAGCCACAGAGCATAATGCTACCACCACCATGCTTGACGCCTGGTAGAGTGTTGTTAGGTTTGAAAGCCTCACCTTTACTCCTGTAGTACTTCTGTACCACTTTCCTATTTGGAAAAAGAATTGATCAAAGAAATCATAACCATGATGAGTGTATACAAACTTCTGACTGCAACTGCAACTGCTTTCATTATGCTCTGTAGGGTAAAATCCAGTTTGTGTACAACTTAAGAAATCTAAAATGTGTGTCTAAAACACCAAACTAGTTTCACTAATGAAAGCCTCCCATGCAGGAAGAAGAGCAGAGTAGAGTAAAAAAAAAAAAAAAACGTGCAACACAAAATCAACAATATTTTGTGCATTAAAACTAAAAAAAAAATATTGAATAATAAAATTAAATAGAGTGGAAATTGGAATATAATAGGCAGCACAGCTGAATGAATGAGAACATAATAAATAATAATAAGAGGGTGAGCATTTTGATGTGACTGCTGATGTGCAGCAAACAGCTTCTCATAAAACATGATATGAGATGTGTCAAAATGCATTAACATCACTAGAGTACAAAGTCCAAAGCAAACATTTCATACCCTAAAGATTATCTTTATCTTTTGTTTTCTTTTGTTTTGCACGGTGCACTTCTCCTTTGTTCTCTGTCCTTTGTCTATATCTCTTCCTCCTTCGGCCCCTCTCTTTCTCTCCTTCATTCCTACCTCGGTCACCTTGCTACGACGTGAACCTCTCTCAGACCTTCTTGCGCCGCCGAAAAACACGAAGAAGATCATGCCTGCTGAGCTCAGTCTATGCTGAGAGAAGGAGGGAAGGAGGACGCAAGGAGAAAGGGAAAGACGGGAGGAAACGAGGAGGAAGGAGAGGACAGGAGGGAGGAAGGGAGAAAAGGAGGGGAGGGGAGGGGGGAAGAGAGAGAGAAAAACGAGACAGGGGTAGTGGATGTAGCTGTAGCTGTGGGCCGGGGGGTGAGCTACCTAGCCCGGGCTGCTCTGCTGAAACATCCATGGGTGGCTGTGTCGGGAGCCACCACGACTCTTCGGGCAGCTTAAACGAGAACTCGGACGGCACTGGAGGTAACTTGCGGGGCTTGTCGACGTCTTTTATTGGCCACAAGCTTGCATTTCTTTTTTCCTTTTTTTTTTACGAAGGGCTTCCTCCAGGCTCCCTGCATGTTGTCCTGACTGGAGGTCTTCTTCCCTTCCTTTTAATATCCGAGCCAGACAGAGCCGAAGACAGACAGCAGTCCTGCCGGGTGTCTCCCTCCATGCACCTGGCCTTAAAACGGCAAACGACGCCTCGTCTGCTCTCTACTTTACAAAGTGGGAAACATTGACTGTGCCAGTCTGCCTCCCTTTGTTCTTTGGTGTTGACTAAGCTAGCCGGCTAAAACGTAGCTAGTTAGCTTGCTAGCTTTCTGCATAACAAATATGGGTCACAGGCAGCAATGGCATGCAAGGGGAGCGCTCAGGCGTGATTCAGTGTGATTTCAGATTTGAATTATGCCCAGATTCTCTGCACAACTTGAAGTTACTGACAGCTCGAGTAGGGGTGCACATATGGCAGCTGCTGATCTTGTCTTATATTTATCATCATTATTATTATTATTGATTGTTTTCGTTGTGAGCGAGGTGTCGGGTCATGCTGTGTCCTGAAGAGTGGAGGAGGTGTCAAAACTGTAGCTTTATGACTAAAAGCGAAACTTAAAGCGTGAGCAAAAAGTGATCTATCGCACAAAACTGCAAGGTAAAGGTTAGTTTTATTTACTGAGCAATAAATGGAGTTGCATGCAGTCCCAAAGCATAGTAGGGATGACAGCTCAAGCAGTGAGAAATTGAGTGCGACACTGTCTATGAATGCATGCTGTAGCACATATTCCCTTTATTAGATAGTTTACGTTGGTGATATGGATAGGGTGCACAGTGAAAGAAGGGTGCTTTGTCAACTATAAAAGCTCTGGGTGGGGTTTAAGGGGAATTGTTGCGTTTAAATGGTGTGAATCTTTAAAAAAAAAAGAGAGGGGGGGGGAAGAGCCCCTTCTTGTAGTTTGAGGTGTTGTACACAACTTCCTTAGTGTTGTTTCCTGGTTTGTCTGATCTGAAAATGAGTTCTGCTCATAGCCAGTGAGTTATTTTAATTACAGAGCGGTAAATACAGTTGGTCATGTGGGTGGGGGGTGGAGACTTAGAGATGCTGAGATAAAACTTGGTTTCCTTTATTCATTCCCTCGTTGCCTCTGCTTCTGTCTTTGCCAGTTTTCAGGCTTCCTCCCTGACTAGATATTGGGTATGAACAGCAGCGGTATCTGTAAAATGTGGAGGATCAAGAGACGATGCAGCGTTAAACGGATGCAGACAAGCAAGCAGGAACAACGCAGTTCAGTTCAACATAGGCACATTTATGTGTCACTAAATCAGATCTCGTAGGCAGGTTTACATTGCAGAAATTTCTATGTTAAATTGTTGTACATACCGGCCTACATAAATCCTTCCTGAATGACACCCAAGTAGGTTACTGTTTAAAGATATACGTGAATTATTGGCTGACAGATGATGTGGAAAGCAGGCTAATGAAGACTTATGGACAGAGTCATGCAGACAAGTTCATAACATGAGAGCATATCCGCAGGAATTCAGGCATGCACTGCTGGAAAATGATTACAGCTAAATGACGCACTAAAATGCTTTTATGTTCCTGATGTTACTGATTGTTTGGTACTTTTGCTAATGTTTTGTATAATCACATAAAATTGTTTAAAGAGCCTGTCCAATGAAAACTGGCACAGTTATATTTTCCTCTAAAGATAAATCAGGAACAAAAGAAGCAATTCAACTTCGTAGTTGAGCATTTCCGCCTTGGAACTGCTTTGTACCTGTGTTGGGTCTGGCGCCCCTCTAAGAAACTGGAGCTAGAGCCAAAGAAGAATCCTGACTATTGTAATATATAGTACTTAAGCGAGTCTTAAGCCACTTTTAACAAAAGAAGGAATGACTGTCAGGCCGTCGGATCTCCATCTGTCCATATTTGCAATCAAGTATAAGCATTTGACATTGTCACACTAAAGGCTCATGCTACCCCTTTACCATAACTTTTCTAATCAGGGTCCAAAATGAACAACCTTCTAATGTAGTTAGTTTCAGTTTGCCAAATAAATGTAAACGAGTATCGAGCTCAGGGTCACGGGAGAGGTGGATCAATCGTACCCAGTGGTCAAGTTCCCAGTCTATTCCAGGACTATCACAGTTGACAGCCAGCCATTCCTGCTCACATTGATGCCTATGTGCAATTAAGAGTCACAAGTTAACCCAGAGCACTTCAGCGTTAACTGCTGTACCACTGTGCTACCAAAATAATTGTGGGTTGCTTTTTTCCCTACTCACATGTGTTCTGGTTCTGAGTTTGATAAGCACACGCTCATGGCTCAAACCAATGTGTGATTTAGACTTCTGTGGGAAATCTATGTGGTAACTTACGACATAACTGGAAAGTCCTTTTAACCATACACCATAACCTTCTACATAACCCAACGCAGCCCACAGCAACTTGAATGGCGTGGAAGGTTGAAACGCAGGGTTATGAGGAGTTTCCAGTTAATACGTAGAATTCCCACAGAAGTCTAAATCACGCGTTACGCAGAGCCTACAGACACCTTTTCAGACCGTCACTTACATGTTGTAGCTGTGTACTGTCGTCAGGGGCCAGTGTCACAAACAGCCCTTTTTTGTGCTGTTCTCAATACAGATCAACAAAGGCCTGAAGCAAAATTAAATGTTAAAAATAACAATAAGTGTTCACTTTTCAACTAATCTATACATAGCATCTTAGACACCAGTCTACGTGCTGTTGGGTCATTGAAAGACTGAAGGGGAGTACTTTTGCTTTGGTTGTGTACCCCTTCGTTCTGTGTAGGTAAACAGGCACAAACGTAGTACTATAAAGCAAGCGTCGCACAGCTGCTGTCTGAGCTATTGACTCCCTCCCTGACATTTTTCTTCTGTCCTTTACCATGTAAGCAATCATTAACACTAGTCAATGAGCAGATGATTAGGACTTTATGGGCTGTGTGAAGAAGTGGATAATTGAGATAAAGAGCCTACAGTTTAAGAGGGTTAAGTTGATTAAATGGTTAAGCATCCAGGATTTTTACTTTTATGTTTGATTAGTAAGTTAATTAATCGTTTAACGATTCACAAGAATTTGGCTTCAGTTTTGCTCTGGGCTCTTCTTTATTCAGCATAAATCTTTGTCATAGTTGAAAATATATTTCAACTAAATATATTTCAACTATGATACATCAACATGTACTAAACCTTGTGCAGTTCACTATTCTTCAGAATAATTTTCACATTGAGCACCTATGTATGAATTTCATTGGCACTGGGAAGTGGTTTACAGTATTTGAGAAGAGTTGAAGGTCAGCACCAGGAGAGGAACTTTAATGTATGTTTATCTGTGTTGCTATCTGTTTACTGTACAGCTGCTGCATTGTTTTCCTCCTCCCTGAAATATCAAAGGCTAAACCTGTCCAACTAGGTCCCCCTCAACCTACTAAACGCTGTGTACTGTAACCTGTCTAATGAGCTTATTTCAAACGGGAAGTCTTTTCAGCAAGTTCAAGCAAGTATTAAAAGTAGCACGGCTAGAGGCTTGTCTTACTAAAGTCAGTTGAAGGTTGGTGTTATTCGACTTTGCCACATGATCATCAGGGTTCGTGTATACCAGCAGGTGTAACTCAACACCTTGATCCATCAGCTTGCTCGCACCTCCCTGTCTGTGTTGTGTATTCAAACATACACGCTGTCCTGTGTGTCGGCCCCTTCGGCGGTGATCCAGATGGTGTTACTCACCTGCCTTCACACTGCAGCCGGAGGGCTGTTAGATGCTAGAACCGTAACCATTTAATTGGGTTTAGTACCAATACATTTTTAGCTTCACTTTGTCTAAATGCTTCATTTAGACCTTATATTACAGTGTAGGCCCATTTTTAATTGACAATTGAATCATGCTTGTGTTTATGAGCAAAGCTGAAAGTCTTGTTTTGTTTCCAGTGAATCCTAACTTTTGTTATGCCTGCTTCCTCCTTACTCATAATCTCTACTTCTCATTTTTATCTTCTGTGGATTTCCCATCTTTTCTCATCTTGCATCCCACATCTGTCTACTTTCTCTTCCCTACATCCAAATTGCTTTTGTTTGTCTTCTTTCCTTTTCTTGGTATTTCCCCTTTACTCCTTCTTCTCTTTGTTGCTTCCTCCGTTTATTCCCATTTTGGTTCACACCTTTGATTCCTCTTTCCCTCCCTCACTTTTATGAGAGTCTTTTTCAATATTTCTGTTTGGTTCTTCAATTTTCAGCCTGCGTCAGTCTTCCTGTTTTTATTAGTTGCATTTTCTCTCTAAATCCCCCTTTCCTCTCCCTCTCTTTGCCGCTCCCAGTGGCTCTAGGGCGTAACCAGCCCCTGAAGAGAGAGCGGCCTAAATGGAAAAGTGACTACCCGATGACTGAAGGCCAGCTGCGCAGCAAAAGAGATGAGTTCTGGGATACGGCGCCAGCTTTCGAAGGCCGGAAGGAGATCTGGGATGCGCTGCGGGCTGCGGCCAGCGCCTTTGAGAGCAATGACCACCTGCTGGCTCAGGCGATCCTTGACGGAGCCAGCATCACACTGCCACATGGTAACACACATTTCCACAGTGATGGGTCTAGTTGACAAGTCATAGATTTTGCTTTATTTTCTGAAAAATAGCTGTAATGGGACACTGAAATGTCAAAGTCAAAATCTCCCCTTCGAATACTCACGATACAGAGCTTTTACTTCATGCCACCTGTCAGCATTCAGTACCACACGCAGCTACTAAATAGTAGCTCTTCAATGTAAAGAGGTTAAATTTACATAGAACAGAGAAGCAAAGGGAGGCTGCTTCCCCAGGAAGTGTCTTTAGATTGCCCTCTGATAAGTTTCATAAACAGGAAGCAAACTTTGCCACATATTACTGAAGCATTTTGTTTATGTAAGTGCCTTCTTTGCTGTCCTTGTTAAAGTCACAGACTACAATTGACATTTTAGTGAACATGGAAGTAAATAGAGCGATTATAAAGCATCAATATAATTCGGCCTGCTATAAAAGAACCTCTTAGTGATTTTCAGTGACCACATTTTAGAGTTTAGGCTTTAGCTGCGAGGAAGTGCTGCAGAAGTAACCCATAAATAATAAATAAGGGGCATGTTCTTGCTCTGCTGAAAGGAGGAAGTAATAAGTCACCTAAGTATGGCAAAGAGTTCAAAACACAAGAGCATTCTCTTAGAACAAATCTATAAAATATATGTGGCTCAAATTCAGGTAGCCCAAATCCAAGCTGTTATAATAAGCTGCTGCAGTAGGCTCTCTACGCGTGGATGTGTCGTTCTTTATTGTTCCCAATTCTTCAAACTTCACAAAAATAATACAGTTCTGTGCAGAATCCCTCATTTCTTTATATTTTACTTGAAAAATGGGAAATAGATGCAGAGTTGTTGAAACATGCAAACATACAGAAAAATACAGGGCACAAGGCAAAAACAGAGTTTGTATAATTCTACCAAGCTTGGAAGGGAATATTATTTTTAAGCATAGCCTGAACTTTAATAAGCAAGCTTTCTTGTAATTTCGTTAAGTAGTTTTCAGGAATAGTTTCTTGAAGGACATTAAAAGCCCTTCTTTAGATGTTTGCTCCCCCTTGGTCTGTTGTATGTCAACGTGATCCCACAATGTTAATAATGTTCAGAGTTCTGGGTCTCTGGTGAGGCCAATCCATGATGGATTATAGCCCATTCTGCCAGTTGCTTGGTGAAATTGGTTCCAAAGAGGGTGTTGCACCAAAAACATTCTGGTGATTGCTTTGGTCACCAGCAGATTGGAACAGTTACCTGTATTTTCTGTGGAAAACACCAATTTGGCTGCAAATACAGTCAAGCAGTAGTGAAACACTGACTGGAAACGATGGCTTCAAAGAAATGTGTTTGCTGCAGCGAAGAGGCAGAGCTTTTACTTTGAAGACGGAAGCTGTCCCATTTCTGGTTTCTTCTCACAGTTTCACTACTGTTTGGAGACCACAGGAAGGGACCGAAGCAGTCGCAATGAGGTTTTTGCCAGCTGGTCTGGGACATTTTTCGAATTTTTCCCCTAGCGACCAGTGGTTGCTAAGTGGTCACTGACCTACCTCTCGGCCTTAGGTAACTGGGGCCTTATTAAGTTGATGATGGTTAGTGGTCACCTGACTGCAAAACCTGTATATGTATATTTTAAGTACCATTAAGAACCTCATGTCAGTGCCTTACAATGTCTACTTGATTCCTCTCAGTAGTTTGGCTAGGTCAGATCAGGTCCTGCTGGGCTGCAGCTGTGGATTCTCTAGACCTGACATCATTGTTTCACTCTACCAGCAGTGCAGTGCAGAGAGTAGACACAACACTTAAATATTTTCACCACTCACACATTTACATTTTCTCAGTCAGTCATGCAAAGCATTGATTTCAAATTTCTTTCACCATTCTGCCCTTGTTCACCAGGACACTTTTGGTCTTCCAGTACTGCTTTACACTTAAACTGAGCAGCATACAGGAATCAGAACTGACATTCCTAAATGTTTTCATCACATTTAATACATCACATGTTGTACAATTGGGATAGAGGGAAAGATGGATGGATTCTTAACTGGTCCCACAAGGGAAATGACTGTGTTCTGTGCAGCAGAATAAAGGCAAGTTTGCTTAAATCTTTTGGCTATGTGTGGTTGGCTGTGAAGTCTGTTTAATAGGTTTTAAGAAACAAATTGAAGTTGAGTTTGTTTGATGTGAAAAGGCTTATCTTGAACATCAGGCCACCATTCTAGGTCTGCAGCAAAGGAAACGCATGAGAAAGAAACAACACATTCACAAATTTAAAGCAATTTTATTATGTCCAACATCCTAGTTATCACTCTTAGCAAGTTAAATATTAAGAAATCCAGAATACAGCTGAGGCTGACGAAGCCATCATTAGTTTTACACACACGTGTTGATGTTGCTAAAGAAAAGCCAGGGTATTTTTGTGACACCAGAATAAAACAATCACTGTAATCTGTAGGATTCACTTTATTCCTGTCTTTTCAGTAGCTGTTTACATTTAGTCTGCACCAGCATGGTAAAAAGAAAATGTTTGCTCACTATGGGACCAAACAGCGATCCTCAAAAATCCTTTAAAATTGCATTATCATTACTAGCTGAGACTTTGTTGGTGCCATTCAGGAAATGGATTAGTTTCTCCAAATCCCCACTTAATTCATAATGGAGACTTTTATTGTATTAGAGATGCATCATCTGATGGGTTCCCCTTTCACTGTTGTTGTTGTTGTTGTTTTTAAGAGTTTAAGTTTTTTGTTTTGGTTGTTTTTTTTTGTTTTTATTTTAAGAAAAAAAAAAGGTTGAAAACAAATTTTGTGGTCATTGAAAGTTGCTCTGTGAACACTGAAATGAGATTCAAGTCTTTGTCTTTAGAAAACATAAGGAAATTATAGAGCATCTTTTCTGGAGCCATTTGCTGTCATTAGCCATCCATCCGTTTTGTGCTGCTCATCTGTCTTGAGGTATCAGGGGCACGAGGCCAACTCTTTAAGCACTTATGGAGACACTGAGTTGTTACAAAGCCATCCCAGAAACTACATCTCTCCAACATCTTTCCTGGGTCTCCACCAGGAGCAAAAACACCTCACCTAGGAGGCGTCCATGAGACAACCTTGTCAGATTCCCAAACAACCTCATCCAGCTCCTGTTGTGGAGGAGTAGCGGCTTTACTCTTATCTCCTCCTGAATGGCCAAACTCCTCATCCATAGGGAGACAAGCCACAATTCGGAGGAACCTAATTCCTCACACAATCTTATTCTTTTGGGCACAGCTTGTGACCATAGGTGAAGGTATTGTCACTACGGCAGGCCAATACAGCATTCTGCATCTCATTGTGCAGCTCTAGTGACAATAAAGGCATTCTATTCTATTCTATCTGCATCACTACCAGTACCACCTGAATCCATCTGTTAGTCTCCCAGTCTACTTTCCGATCACTCTGTGATACCCAGGTCTTCCAGCTGAGTCCAGCCTCTTTAACAAAGGGCAACCTTGGTAGAGTCCAGCTCAGGATCCAGTCTGATTTACCGTGGGTAACACAAACCAAGCTCTTACCACACTTGGCAGGCCGAATAGCCCATAATAATGGGCTAATACCGCATACTCCCAAAGCACCCCTCAAACGACATCCCGAGGGATGCGGTCATTTGATTTTTCCAAGTCCATAAAATGCATGTAGGCTGGTTGGGCAAATTCCCACGCAGTTTTGAATATCCTTGTAAGGATGGAAAGATTTACGGATTCACATCACTTATATTTTCATCCTTTAAAATTCAAAACGTGTTGGGGGGGATATGCAGCACAGCAAGCACTTCAACAACATGTTTCTTTGCTTTTGTCATAAGATTTATTCTTTAAAATTTGGTACAAGGCTAATTCCACCTTGTGGGTGGAATTAGTTTTTGTTTTGATGAAATGCCACAACCAAAAGCATCAGTACCATCTGGAATACATTGGTGTTCTGCAGCTGAAAAATAAATAGCTGTTGAAGGGAAAAAAATCAAAGGAAGATCCTTTCCAGATCATGTTTATACATTTTCATTGAGCCATGTTAAAACTAATATTTATCTTAGCCTTTTGTGATGCTGGCTATCACTACTTCTTCATATTGTGCGCTCTCTGTTATCCCACATAGAAGGAGCCTAAATAAACAACTGTTTAGTTGGTGTGCTGAAATATCGGAGGTAGGACAGCTCAACTGTAGATTTATTTGCTCAAATTTATATTTATTTTATGTACCTGATAAAAGCAGAGAGCTATAAAATATTTAAACATGCTCTCCAATTATTTATGTAGACTCCTGCACAATATATAATAGTGTGGTTGTGGTTGAAGTAATTGCTGCACTTTCGTTTTGTGGTGGTTTTTGGTGATTGCTGCTACGCAGTGGGCTACACGTGCCGGAAACCAGCCTTTTTGCCACCTTATTCCTTCACAATTACATGAACTCTGCACTTTTCTTGAAGGCAAGAGTTACTTTCATGTCCTCACCGAGGCCAAAGTTGTCATCATCTAGAGAGTAGCGAGAACTATTCTGGGCTTCTGCTAAGTCATCTCGGTCTTGGTTACAGGAAAACTCACTGCTACTCTCGGGTGGATCGTGCTTCGGTTTAAGTCATAAAACAGCGCAACAGCAGCAAGGTGACCTTTTTTTTTTTTTTTTTTTTTAAATGTCATTTAGAAGAAACTGTGGTCAGGCGGTCTTCTCACTTTTGTGGGAGAGTTTTTCATCTTTTTGGATGTCATCATCAACTGAATCTTCTGTTTTTTGTTAATCCACAATAAATATGACCTTTTTTAGTTTTTTGGTATGAAAAGTAGTCACTTTTGAATTATTTTGCAGGGTATGTATCTGTCAGGAATCCCCCTCGTGAACAGAATGGCTTACATTTTTACTCGTGGACACAACCTCTTCAGTATGCTATAATTCCCACTTTCTGTCCACCAACTCTTTATTGTCAGAGTCTGAATCACAGAAATGACATAATGTTTCGTTATGTTTTAGTCCAAGATGAGACTTTCCCTTTTCTCCTGCTTCCACAGTCTGTCCCCCTACAATCTTTATTTTCTATTTGTATGACTCTCATTTCTCCATTTCATATCAATCCAGGGTATTATGAAGCATAGTTCAGGTTTTGGCTTTGTTGAATGGGAAAAAATATGTTTTAACTTTCACTTTATTACAAATGACTAATAGATTTCTTTAAACAGAAAGTATTCCATCTCATGCACAGCAAGGTATATATATCTATATATTAGAACTTTTTTGTTTAGACAAGTAGTCCATGAAGAGTTACGAAAAGGAAAAATTAGAAATGACCCTCCTGTTCACTTTAGTGTTTTATGGCTCTGCATTGGAAGCTCCGAGTTAATCATTTACCGAGCTCTTACACTTCTGTTTATATTGTAATGTGATTTATTGACAGTGGCAATTCCTGCAAACCATAATCTATAGCTTTCATTTGATTTATTAACCAAATTAATATTTAGATTTGTTTTTTTTTTTTTTAATATATTGAATTAATTGGTTATATTCTCCGTTCTTCCAGGAGCTCTAACCGAATGCTACGATGAATTGGGGAATCGATACCAGCTGCCAGTCTACTGCCTCTCTCCCCCCGTCAACATGATCGAGGAACGCTCCGATGAACCCGACGGTTCAGATCCTGACTCCGGAACCACCGACCCGTCCTTGGGCAGCGCCGGTGAGCCTGGCACAGGAGGGGAATGCCAGCTTCGGCTTCGCCTCTCCACGGGTCGCGACCTCCGGCTGGCAGTCCGTTCCACGGACACAGTAGGCATAATGAAGCGGCGTCTACAAAGTCAGGAGGGCGTGCCTGCCGCAACGCAACGCTGGTTTTTCTCAGGGCGGCCCCTGACAGACAGACTGCGCTTGGACCAACTCAACATCTCAAGAGACTATGTAGTGCAGGTCATCCTCAGCCAGCGACCACCACCAGAGCCTGAAACTACACCAGAAACATCAGGGCCAGTGGCAGCAGAAGAAGTAGCCGCACTGCCACAAGAGCCCACGCCGGAGGAGGATTGATGCTCCCAAACTGGCAGCCTGGAACGGGGCATACCAGTGATGTGATAGTATAAAAGTTGGAGGATAACAAGGGACACAAAAGAAGCTGATTTCTCTTCTCTTCTCTTTTCTCTTCTCAGACATTTTTTGCTGAGAACTTTGTTTGGGCTGATATTAGGCATCTGCTGGAGCATAAGGACTCTTGGATTGAGAAAAGACTAATCCTTTTGGTTTTTACACATTGAAATTTTGACCTTTTTTGAAGTCTTTTTAACTGTTCCTATGGAAACCAAACAGCAAAAAGAGAACTTTGTCAGATGGTTAAAATGGGTTTTCTTAGCAACACTGATATTTGAATGTTTCTGTGTTTCAGTTTCCATTCAAGTTCTGCTCTTTGGCAAAGCTGGTTCAGCACAGAGAATTCTTCGTATAAGGCGACAGGGTTACACGTGTACTTTCACAGCATATGTTTTCAATTTAGACATTTCAAAAAGACACTTAACAGTACTGAGAGTTATTCAGAAATTGTTCATTTAAATACATGATAGTAAATCAGTCAAGAATGCTTGCGTCAGGGGATAAAGTCGGTATACAAACAGCCATAAAGGAAGTTTGGTGTAGTTGGTTAGCAAGCAGATGTGTTCTCCCTCTTGAGGCACTCAGAGGACATGACTGGATGCTTTACCAAGCTGCTGCTGCTGGATCATATTCTTTATTTCACTCTGCTTCACTGAACAATCAGATTAATCATGTTATAAGTAGTCAGCCTGTGCGTGAGAGTGCGTGTGAATAAGTGTGTGTGCGTGTGCGGATGTTCATATATGATCAGGACACAACCACCACTCATTCATGTGGTGAAAATGATGGACATCAGAAACACAGTTGCATATTTTGATTAAAGAATGTTTTTAATGAAAACTAGTCATTGTTTGTTTTCTTCGATCTCTCTTTCAGAATTTCATATTTCGATGAAGACTTGGGACATACTGGACTGATATGCCACAATACTTACACTTGCTACAACTCTGGGATTGCCTTTTAATAAGGTTTATAACTTGCTTAGTTTTTCCACTTCTTGCGTTTTAATTAAGGTGACTTCCTCACTCATTTTCTTTGCTTAATACATTACAAATGTTACACGTCAAATGGTCTCACAATGTAATTGTTTATAGATTGCATAGTATTGTGTAAATGGCCTGTATTTGTAAGGACCCCAAAGCGCTTTACACTACATTCAGTCACACACATTCACACACTGGTGATGGCAAGCTACATTGTAGTCACAGCCGCCCTGGGGCGCACTGACAGAGGCGAGGCTGCCAAACACTGGCACCACCGGGCCCTCTGACCACCACCAGTAGGCAACGGGTGAAGTGTCTTTCGCAAGGACACAACGACCGAGACTGTCAGAGCCGGGGCTCGAGCCAGCAACCTTCCAATTACAAGACGAACTGCCAACTCTTGAGCCACTATCACCCCTTGTGTATTCCCATGCACATAGCGTCATTTTAAAGTTACAAATAGGAAAAAATTATCTTGTATTTTGTGGCTAATATTGAAAGGAAAGGTTAAGGCTAAGGGCAAAAATTAACTTTCTTTCTTTTTACTTGGTAAAATGAGCTGTGTGACATCCTCAATACCATTTTAAGCCTGAGTACTGAATTTACACATCATCACCTCCTATAAGTGTAATATTTTGCATCAGTTTTAATTTGAACAAAACCCTCAGAATGGTTTTAACATGTCAAAACAACAACATTTGGCTTGTCTAATTTGTTTGGGCCTTTGGACAGGTGCTGTAGCCATTTCCATTATAAATGTCAGGCTAAAATAATCGCCTCCTGGCTTCAGTCACAAGTCAAGTCAAGTTGGCTTTATTGTCACTTCAACCATATACAGTTTAACAGTACACAGTGAGGCGAAACAACGTTCCTCCAGGAACCAAGGTGCTACATGCAACATAAATTTACAACATAAATTAACAAAAAACACTAAACTAGCTAACTAAGAGGCCTAGTTAGCTGGCTAGCAGAGACAAGAACTAAGAGGCCTAGTTAGCTGGCTAGCAGAGACAAGAGGTCTCCCTAATAATGTAATATAAGCTCCCAGAGCATTGTTTTTGTGCTGATGTTAATGCCGCGGGTGTTTTTGGAATTGTGCAAATTCTAAATCATATCTACAAATATAACAGCAGAGCACTACTGACTCTTACACACACATGTGCCTCAGCAACATCCCCCACATGCTCTGTAATTTCACGTGGTCAACCACTTTGCGGCTAAGTTGCTGTGCTTCCTAAATGTTTCCACTTTCCAATAATACCAGCTGATTGAGGGAAGCAATTTCACAAATTGACTTGTTACAAAGGTGGCAGCCTGTCACAGCGCCACACTTGAATCCAGTTAGCTCATTAGAACAACTCATTTTTTCACGAATGTAAAGGCAGACTGCTTGGCTTGATGGTTTTATGCTCTGCGGGCAGTGTTGGGGAGTAACGGAATACATGTACCGCCGTTACGTATTTAAAATACAAAATATGAGTAACTGTATTCCGTTACAGTTACCGTTTAAAAAGGTGGTATTCAGAATACAGTTACTTTGTTGAAATAAATGGATTACACTGCGGTACTTTCCTGTTTCATTTTGTCGCGGGTCAGGACTGTTTGGGTTTTGTTTGACAGCTACGTTCTGTTGTTCCAGGCGGCAGCGTTACGGTTGCCATGGTTACAGGGCGACGCTCTCTCTCTCTGCGACTGTGTGTTTCCTGGGTGAGAGAGCGCCTTTTCGTTGTTGTTGTGCTAAGCTAACAGGCAGAATGCTACAAGCATAGCTCTAAAGAATGTAGCATCATGGGCAGTGTAGTCCGTGCTGCTGGGAGAATGGACTGCCATACACGTTATGGGTCTGTGAGCGCGAGGAGGGAGAAAAAGGGGAGTGGAAAGGTACGAGCAGTCATCGAGCAAAAACGGGAGCTGGAAGCATGTAAATATAATAATAACCACTGCAGCCAAGAAGAGTGCCTGAGAGCCCAGTTGTAAGTAAGCTATTAAGACTCGACTGTACACTGTGTTCGTGTTTTCCTCCGAAAACAATAAGTTCCGTTGGAGCAGCCTTTCAACGCCTCTCTCTGTCAAGAAAAGTTTACCCACACAACAAAGTAGAGCTATTTTTCGGCTACGAGCCGACAGGGACCCCGCCGTATTATGCTGGACAGACACTGTGCGATTTTTTCAGTCGCGCGATTCAGCTCCTGCTCAAACTGTACGATTGACTCGCAGGGGTTAGAAGTTCATAGGTCACGATGCAGGGTCTCACACTATACGGCCCGATGCTCTGATGCGACCTGAGTGCTCACACTGTGCGTCCATAAAAATGAAGGTTATAACAGAAATTCTGTCGCTCGCTCTCCCTCTCCGTCTTTCACTCACACAGACACACCACCACCATCAACTTTGCTAAATTGCTAATGAAAAACATTGGTCAGGCAGCTGTGATTGAGCAGCAGTGTCGATCCAACTATTTTCACGGTTGTTGTGGTCGTGATAATTTTGTGAGGCCACATCGAATAGGCTCGGATGGATCAGAGGTCCCTTTACTACAGTTCGGAGTCGCGGACCTTCAGTAATAGTAATATATCACACAGCAATAGTACATTCACGTTGTTGTAAAAAGCATGATAATATTGTAGCGGGTCAGGGCTGTTCGGGGTTCTGCTTGTAGTTATGTTTTGTGTATGTTGCCATGGTGACGGGTGACGCCCTCTCGCTGCGACGATGTGTCCTTCCGGGGTCAGAGGGCGCCCTATGTGTGTTGTGGTTGCCGCGCTGAGCAGTTAGCTAGTGGCAGTGTGTTCTTCTGCAAATGTAATAAACGGCTGTGCTCCCTGGCTAGCTCACGGGAAGCAAGACCAAACGATACCTCCGTCTCCTCCTTGTCTGAACTCGCCACAATATATTAAGTAATCCAAAGTATTCAGAATACGTTACTGTCATTGAGTAACGTAACGGAATAGGTTACAGAATACATTTTGGGGCATGTATTCTGTATTCTGTAATTGAATACATTTTAAAAGTAACCTTCCCAACACTGTCTGCGGGACTGATAACACCTAAATTTAAGAGGGACTGTTTCTGTCCTTTGTTGTGTGATTACAATTCAGTAATGTGTCTTATCAATCTTTAAAAAACTAAAATGTAGGATTCCCCAAAAGATCAAATTATAATTTCAGGATCTGACACTGATATATCCATGATAATCTAATCTGTTTTATCTGTCTAGTCTCTTTAACAGGAATAATACAGCACACTTAACAGCATAATACACACTAAGTTTTTCCTGTAGTCTCTTTTCTCTATAATTTCAACATCATTGTTTAAGCCCATTCATTTAGTCCTGGCAGAAACTGGAAGTTTTCTTGAAAAACCCAATTACGCAAGCATTGATTAATTGGATTTGTTTTTGAAAGAAGTGCTGCTAAGCGGCATTCCCACCTTGACAAAGACATACCTGCTATCATTCAGCTGGTATGAGGAAGGAATGCCAGCTGCCTCTCCACAATTCCTATAAAATACAAAGGAAGTTAAAGAGTTGATAAGCCACTTGTTTAATATTGAGAAAAGTCGCACCGTGCACACACACACACACACACACACACATGGAAGTGGATGTGGTGTAAGGTTAGTATGATATGACATTTTCAGTCCCCATAGAATACGAAATAGGATAGTGGTGGGGAAAAACCTTTTACTTAATTGAAGTGAGGGTCCAAGCAAGGAAATTGCATTTCCTTTCAAAACAGCATAAAACACACTCCCCTTGAGTCATCTGTTGCCTTTTTTTTTTAAATAAACAAAGGTTAATCAAAAGAAACCCCTATACCTATGTGTATTTATAGGAAAGGGTCTACGAGTTGTCATTACAGCTGCAACCACACAGGCATGCTTAAATGTTAGTGGTTATTTTGGAAAGAAAACGCTCTGCAGGTAACTTCCCAGATGTATACGTAAAAAAAAAAAGAAAATGCAACAGTGATTTTTCCATTTGGTCATTGCGTTTACAAAACTCATTCAGATAATCCTGTTTTGTTTTTTTGCTTTGTTTATAATCTGGGTTTTCTCCTTTATTTCGTTCCTGATGATTGTGTTCTCTTGACGCATTCTGTGGAAGCGTCCTTTTTCTTGTTCTTCTTTAGAAGTCCCATGACGGCTTTCTAGATTACCTGCTCCACTTTCAGTGGCGTATAACCATATTTAAACATTTTAGGGGTTGCAGTTCTGTTTTACAGAAGTTTCTGTATCATTAGTTGGCTTTACTTCCCCCCCAAAGTGGTTAGTGTGATCACACAATCATCAGATTACAGCATGGATTTTGTACCGAATGAATTGTCGTCTTCAACACAGCTAAATTAATCAAGCTTAACAAAAAAGGAGAGCCGGGTGGAAAGCTAGTGGTAATCCATTTATTTTGATCATTCATTAAATTTCCTTTCATGTGCAGTGTGGTCCATTGTCATCGTCATCATTGGTCAGGTATTAAAGAGTTCCTCTTTTGAGTGGGGATTTCTCAGCCTGACGTATAAATGCAGCTGCAGCTGCTGCCTTTACACAGACAAACACTGCTTACTACATCTGGTTCCAGTGTGAAATTTTGAATCAAGTTTTGCAGGGTAAGATCTATTATATTCCATCTGATTGTCACAGATATTCAGGAGGAGGAATAATCTGCTCACTTTGGGTTATGTAAAAATCAAAAATTTAAGTATCTTGAAGTATGTTTAAAACTTCTTATATAATTGAAAACACTTTGAAAATGCTGTTGCACTGGTTCCCAAATTTGAGTTCTCATCCTTTGAAGGGTCAAAAAGGTTTTAGGAGGAACTATCTGATTTTTTTTTTAATATACTATTTCATTTGATATCTTCTAATTTTTTTTATTAGATTTATTTTTTTAATTTTTACTAAACTAACAGATAGTTAAACTAAGGATATTTTCTCTGTAATTTTATTTGATTTTAATTAGTTTTCCAAGTTCACAATTCTTTTGTTGTTATTTTATTTTAGTTATCACTGCTTTGATTTAAAGGGTTAATTTTGTACTTGAGTATTTCACTTTTTTCAAGGTTTAAAAAGAAATATTTTTATTTGTTTATGTAAAAGAGTCCCATCACTTCCTTTCTTTTGTTACAGATGCATACATTTTTGCTCATGGTTGTGTGGGCTATACTGAGTGGCGCCCGCTCTGACACCCAGCAAGCAGATGTCGAGACACTCATGGATAATGGTATCTCCTTGTCTTTGAATATTCCTCCATGTTTTCATTTTTGTTTTTATTTCACCAACAGTAAAATCTATTTTTTTGCTTTACCTAGTTGTGGTCCTGAGGGTGCCCTCTTTTACGGGTAGCATGGTTCACGTTCCTTTGACCTGCGGAGAAGCTTTTCAGAATGAGCCTGTGTTTTGGAAGAAAAATGGTAACGCAGCTTTTAATTCAATTCATTTTACTTATGTAAAGAAAAAGTCAAAGTCACAAGAACTTTCTTTTGTTTGTTTGCTCTATAGCTCATCAAGCTTTTGTTTATCCAGACGTCAAACTTTCCCGTTTGTCTCTTTATGGCTTTTTATGACCACATTGTAACAATGAACATGTCCGTGTCTCAGGTCAGGAGCTCAATCCTCCTCTGCAGGGGAACCAAGTCCAGGTCCTGGTGGAGGAGATGAAAGGAGGGAACTACACTTGCCACCTCAGTCCAAGTGGAGAATACCTGAACCACACTATGATCTTAATCCAGCTTAATCCAGACAACAGGACAGTCATATTGGAAAACAGAGAAGGAGGTAAGTTGAAAAAAAAAGAAAGAAGGAAGGAAAGGAGCAAAGGCAAAGAAAGAAGTGAAACGAGTAGGGGAGGGAGAACAAAGAAGGCATGCATGAAGGGAAAAGGGCAAAGAGCAGATTTTCTTTGACTGGATTTAGCCTCAGGCTTTCTCTGAAGAAGAAATGGTATTGATGGGACTGAACAGCTAAGATGATGGTCAGATAGGGATTTAGGATAAGAAAAAAAAAATAGGGAAAGGGTGTAAGGGTGGGGTTCCAGAGCAGAAAACAGAAACTGGATCAAAGGATCACCATTAGTAGTGTCAAAGGAATTTTAATAGAGAAGATGAGGGAAAAGAACAACACAGTGAGCAGGCTTTATATTAGGCCCATCATCACATTGTTAGTGCTCATGTTTCTCCATAAGGTTTCAGCTTTGTAAATCTCAAACATTAAGTTTCTGCAGTTTTGTGCTATGAGGCAATGTTTTCCTGTGATGGAACAAAACCTTAAAGTTGAAGAGGCAGCTACAAAGCTTTTTTTCTCGTTTACAGCAATTATATCAATGCCCTGAGTGATTTATTTGTGTTTACTCAATGGGATCTAGAAGAACAATGAAACACTACAAGTGTAAGCTACACTGTTCATAAGAACATTAAACAAAAGAGAGGGAGGGGACTGACAGTAATTCTGTTGCTCCAGGTCACATCCACTGCTCGGCACCAAACTATACAGGATTCTTTCACTGCTCCTGGAAAAGAACAGCGCTCAGATCTGATGCCAGTGTGGTTTTGGTTAAGGCTGAACGGTAAGGACAAAGACAATGCATAGCATACTTTGGTTGGGTGCTGGTGTGGAGGAGGTGCTCTAGATAGTATTTTAACATCAACTTATATTTATATTCCAGTTTTACCGAAGATATCCCCTGTGAGCTGGATGCTGATGCATCAGGGGTTCGCTGCCAGGATGCCCACTGCCCATACAAAGAGGAGCAACATCGCATTTCTTTCACCGTTTACATACGCAGCCATGCTCGTTTGGAGACCTACACAAAGTCTTTCTACCTGAGAGAAATCGGTAAGTTTGTTTTTGTGTATTTTAGCGTATGAAAAGTAACTTTCTTAGTCATCGTGCCGTGATTTCCTCTCTCCATTCTCTTTCTTTTTTAACCTTTGCCCACCTCATTTCTCTCCCTCCCAACTCAATAAAGTGAGACCGTCAAAACTCCCTAACCTGCACATCAGTGATGGGAAGGTGTTCAGCTGGGACTACCCTGATACTTGGGAGAAACCCTGCAGCTTCTTTGGCCTACAGTTTGAGGTCAAGCTGGTGCACAGTGGACATCCCTGCAACAGTGACAATCAAATAATTGTAATTAATACACGTACATCTATACACCAGATTCATATCTCTTTGCTGATGTCCAGTTTAGTCGAGGTTTCTTTGTCTTTATTAAGTCGCCTCTTCTTTGTGCAGAATATCACCACTGATACAACCAAATACGAGGTTGGCGTTAAGACCAAGAAGTATGTTTTCTGTGTGCGAGCTCAGGACAAGTTCACCAGAGGGCCGTGGAGCCACTGGAGTCAGTGCACGTAAGTGTATTGATTTTTATTTATTTATTTTTTGCTAATTCTGTTCCTGTGCAAGGATTCACACTATTTACAAATCATTGTATACTGACTGATCCAATCTGTACTGTTTTGTTCTTTTTACCAACAGAGTGAACAAACATAACGTGGCATGCTAAGCGTTAGCCGCTGGACTCTGCTGCCGCACCAGAAAGAGGAAAACAGTTTTTAAAAATATTGAAATTCAGAAGGAAAAAAAATGGTCTAATACATTTTTTCAAGTGATGCACAACATATGAAGCTGTGCTTCAGGAGTGAATGTATACCTGTACAGTATTTATTCATCCCTCTTCATCCCCATTCGTTATGTCTGTGGAACTACAGAACAATGTTACAATAATGATTTGTACTGTGATTGAAATGAATTAGTATTTCCTTCATGCCCTTTTTAACTTATTTATATCTGTTCAGAATGTTTCTCAACATTTTATAATAAATTAATGAACATGTCAGTTTATTGTATTTTCTTTCATTTTATAACAGGGCATCTCAAAATGTATTTGAAACCCATGGGTTATCTATAGTAATGACGAGTTTATTTTGAGTGCAGAACATACAAAAGATGAAAAATGCACTGACAAACTAGAAAAAACACAAAATCATAAAACTAAAGTACTTGTACATATTTGCATATTTTATATTCTGATATTGTGCGAGTTGCATGTGTATTCACTCATCATGTGGCTACGCGAGATAAAAATAGGTAATAACAATGACAACAGTAGGAAAAAAATAGCCAGTAATAATACTGAAAAAATATTTATGACATTAGGGGGCGATCATGGCTCAAGAGTTGGGAGTTCGCCTTGTAATCGGAAGGTTGCCGCTTTGAGCCCCGGCTTGGACAGTCTCGGTCGTTGTGTCCTTGGGCAAGACACTTCACCTGTTGCCTATTGGTGGTGGTCAGAGGGCCTGGTGGCGCCAGTGTCCCGCAACCTCGCCTCTGTCAGTGCGCCCCAGGGTGGCTGTGGCTACAATGTAGCTGCCATCACCAGTGTGTGAATGGGTGGATGACTGGATGTGTAAAGCGATTTGGGGTCCTTAGGGACTAGTAAAGCGCTATACAAATACAGGCCATTTACTATTTAAATGAAGGGGAGGCACTAGAAGCCATGGTGTTTTGGGAGGTGTCATTATTGGCCAGGTCGTTAGTGTCTACGTTCTTTATTCAACGAATTAATCTTTTATCCTTTATGGTGTTCATGGTGTACAAGTTATGAACAGGAAGTAATGAAATGTTTCTAACTGTAAAAGATTAACTCGTTTTTAACTACCTCAGGAATGTAGAACAGTACAAGCAAGCGAGGTACAAAAAAAGGTTTATTTTCCTATTTACAGCTACAATTTTGTCGATGAAATGAAGAAAACACACAAAAAAGGCAGAGCTCAAGAAATGAAAAGAAACTGAATTTCCAGGGACTGCTTGACATATCATATAGCTTATGTTTCCAGAGCTTCAGCTTCATAAAATGAGGCCCACCTTAATAAGTAGTGAAATGTGTAAAAACCCACTTTAGTTACAAAAGAGAAAAAAACAAAACACACAATTAAAAAAATGTGCTATCCAGTTCTTGTATTCTCATCACCTTTAGTTGGTTCATTGACATTTGGATGTTCCAGAAACATTTCAATGAAGAGCTGTCACGATCTAACGAGCATCAACGAAATAAAACCTATGCTTTATGTCCGTTCGAGTGTTGCGTCCTGTGACGTAACAGAATCAGCATGCACAGAAAAACATGAATACGTTTCTGGACATGTATGCACATGAATATCCAGCCATGGAAGCCTGACTGTAATATGCATGTACAGAATGTAAATAACAAAAAACAGGCCTGTTTGTAGTGACCACCTACAGACACGTAACAAATGGTGTCACACTTGTTCACTAAAGCCACTGTTTTGATGAAATATTTTAGCTAGCCAGTTCTAAGACCAACAGATTTTGGTCTCTCAGTAGTTTTTAGAATTGCTGCATACGTCTGCATGTGCAGGCTGCTGTTATTTGTTTGACGCTCACAAAACTTCCAGACGTTCCAACTTTTCACTTCATTTATTACAAATCAAACAGACAATCCAAATACTACATAAAAAAACACGTTAAATTACCAGGATATCCTCGCATACTGAAAACACTTTCAATGGTTATGTAACTTCATTTTGCTTATTTGTTTCTTTTCGCTCTTTAGCTTTTTGCGGTCAGTCTCTTTGAAGGCAGGCTACTGACCTTAACCATAATGAAATTAGATTTGTATCTTCTCCTACTCACTTGGTACAGCAGAGAGGCTTGATAGAGTATTTTTTACTGGTAATCAACTTAACACATCTGCTACTATTCACCCATCTAAAATACCAAGCAGGCGTAAAAGATCTCGACTACTTTCAGGAAATAGTGGACCTCAGTTATCTATATTAAACCCTTGTTGACCACCATGAGTAAACAGGTGAGCTGGAGTCTGTGACATTAAATCAGTGTGGTCTCAAACAGGATTTTTTTTCCCCACAATGCACCTTGCACACTGATAGTAACTGTAAACAATATTTGAACAAACAAATGTTCCAGACTAAGAGAAGGCAGAGAACATGCAGATATATAAACTGGGAAGCCCGTCTCAGTCCTGAGGTTTTGACCTTGTGTGTAATTGTAGGGTTAGTGTTGGACTTTTAGTGAGGTTTGGTATGAAGGACTTTATGTTTGTTCTTGTGTTTGACAAGCGGATGATGCATTGGTTGCATCCACTCCAAGTCTTTGCGCTGATAATATAGTCCCTCCTCAGTGGTGCTGCCTCTTAGATAGGTACCTGCAGAAACAAACAGGCACACATTCAGCGCATATTTTAAACACATTCAGTTGAATTCATGTTGATTTGGGGAAATGTACGAATGACACTGGGACACAACATTAAAAATGAGTAACTACATAATGGAAGAACATTTAAAGCCTTTACCATGTACTAGAGATGGACTGATCCGATATTACGTATTGGTATCGGTCCGATACTGACCTAAATTACTGGATCGGATATCGGAGAAAAATAAAAAATGTAATCCGATCCGAAGTATCACAAAATCACCTCACAAAACGTGCTACTTGGCATAACTCAGCTCGGTGCATCGGAGCAGTATCTGTCACGTGATAGAGCGGCTGTTGTCTGCGAGACCTGTTGGTGTCTGTTGGAGCATTTGGAGCCTCGCTACATGCTTCCTAACCGTGGCATTTCATCTCAGCGAAAACTATCCCACAGAAGCAAAGCAAGTGTGTAAGTTCATCCCTGAATGTTTGCATAGTATTTCCACGTTACGCTTAACAACTGATGTATTGAGCCACAGCTGGACTGGCCATCGGAGTTCCATATTGAGGTGAAAAGGAAGCGATTTGTCCCATACTTCAGCTAGAATTCAAAAATAGACACAAAGCTGGAGTTATTCTGTCTTTGCTGCACAGTTGCATCTACTTCTCTCATTGACTTCCCCTTCCTCTCCTGTTATTACTTCAAACATGAAACTGATTAATGATCAGCTGATCGGCTTTTCTGCCGCAAGTCCTGTCTTTCTTGTTTGTTTTTCGCCCACTTTGCGCTACAAAGAGGAGACCAGTGGATAAACAACAGCACCACGTTTAAGCGTGATAAGCTGTTGTTAGAATGTATTTAATATTAACTTTGTAGTATCAGCTGATGTTTGCTGGAGCCACAGCTGTAAAAGCTGCTGGTCATGATATCCGTTTGGATATGTGGTGAGAGGGAAACATGAAGATGAAACCAGGAGATGTCCTTACTGAATCATCAGAGCTGAACAGGTGATGGAAAAACAGGTTTATCTTTTAGGTGACATGAATGAGTTGAAGGGAAGTTATGAACTGTTTCTGAGAGACAAATAACACCAGGATCCTTTTCTAGGTAGCTGACGGCTGGTAACTGTGCAGCGGCGGGTCCAGCAAAGTTTTGTCGGGGGCCAGGTTGGGCATTAACAGGGAAAGGGGGCCACAAAGAAATACTTTTCTTTGTTATGTCCTTTAAAAACTTTGAATAAATAATTATCTGAATCTTACAACAAAAGTGGTCATCTGATTAAATGTATAGAAATCCATTATTGTATATAGTAACTAATAAGTCTAATATACACCCTAATAAGCTATAGTACTTTTTCCTTTGGGAAGGTACCATCTGTGCAGTCTGCAATTCTGTTGAAGAAAGATGTTGAATCTATTTAAATATTGTAGAAAAATAACTGATTTCTGTGCATTTGTTTTACACTTGCATTAAATTAAAGTTGATTACATCAATTAAGGGCGGGGGGCGGTTCCTGAATATTTTTGCTGGGAGTTGGCAACCCTATTAGTTAGGTTGCTTAATATTCCCACTAAGTTGACCACAACATATTACTCAAACGACTGGAGAACTGGGCAGGTCTTTCAGGAACTGTACTAAACTGGTTCAAAACATACTTAGAAAACAGGAAATACTTTGTATCAATAGGTAACTTCACATCTGAGCAGACAAGTATCACATGTGGAGTTCTCCAAGGTTCCATCTTGGGACCCCTTCTGTTTAACATTTACATGCTCCCACTGGCACAGATTAAAAAGAACAACAAAATAAACTATCACAGCTATGCAGATGACACACAAATATATATCACAATGTTACCAGGAGACCGAGGCCCTGTACAGGCTCTTGGTAAATGCATTGAGGAAATTAATGACTGGTTGGGCCAAAATTTTCTCCAGCTAAACAAAAACAAAACTGAGGTAATAGTCTTTGGCGCCAAAGAAAAACAATTACAGGTCACCAGAGAACTTCAATCTATACACCTAAAAACCACAAACCAGGCGAGAAATTTGGGTGTAGTGATGGATGCAGACCTAAACTTAGAAAAACACATTAAGACAATAACAAAGTCAGCTTACTATCACCTCAAGAATATATCAAGGATAAAAGATCTGATGTCTCAACAGGACCTGGAAAAACTAGTCCATGCATTCATCTTTAGTAGGCTTGATTACTGTAACAGCATCTTTACAGGTCTACCTAAAAAATCAGTCAGACAACTACAGCTCATTCAGAACTCTGCTGCTCGAGTCCTCACTAAGACCAAAAAGTGGACCACATCAGTCCAGCTCTGAGGTCTTTACACTGGCTGCCTGTCTGTCAGAGGATAGACTTTAAAGTTCTGATGCTGGTCTATAAAGCTCTGAATGGTTTAGGACCAAAATACATCAGTGACCTCCTGACCCAGTATGAACCTTCCAGATCCCTCAGGTCATCTGGATCCGGTTTTTTATCAGTTCCCAGAGTCAGAACCAGACACGGACAAGCTGCATTCAGCTTTTATGCTCCATATATGTGGAACAAACTCCCAGAAAGCCTCAGATCAGCTGAAACACTCAGTTTATTTAAATCCAGATTAAAGACTCACCTATTCTCAGCTGCATTTAAATGAAGCACCAAATCCGCACTTAAGCTTAGATTTCAAAACTTACATTTAACTACTGATTTTATCTACTGTTCTGATTTTACCTGTTTTGATTTTTGATTTTATATACTGTTTTGTTTGTTTGTTTGTTTGTTTGTTTTAATCAATTTATAATCATTGTTTTTGTTTCTAATGTCTCTGTAAAGCACTTCGAATCACCTTGTTGTTGAATTGTGCTATACAAAGAAACTTGCCTTGCCTTGCTTGCTTACTCTTTAAAATACCAGAATATGGAGGATGGTGTAGGTTTAAATTTATTAGATTGATCAGTGTTGCTGAACTATAAAATGTTTTGGGTTGAGTGTATTTTTTGCATACAGGTATAACAGAATAGCTTCAGTCTCTTGTTTTTTAAAACTTGAGTATGAACTTATACAAAATGCAGCAAGATATTTATATTAAAAAACAGTTTTATTGATTACAAAATACGCTATATCGGATTCATATCGGTATCGGCAGATATCCAAATCAAATTTATGATATCGGAATCGGTATCGGACATTAAAAAGTGGTGTCGTGCCATCTCTACCATGTACCATGTACAGCACAAACAAATTATATCATAAGTTGAACAGTCGATGAAATAACCAACCATGTACAGTCCTACGGCATCACAGATAACAAAAATAAAGCTAAGAATGGACACAACAAAGTGCAAAGGGGAAATTTGCACTGAGAGCTCACCTTTTAACCTTTCCATCACAACTGTAAATAAGAAAGAGCTCAACACTGATCCCTGATGTAACTCTACCCCGACCCTAAACTCATCTGTAATTCCTACTGCACACCTCAACACTGTTTCACAAATTTCTTGCCACTGGTGAGTTCCTCATTGAGTACCACAGTTACTTTCTTTGCTTGGGATGCAAAAGTCTCCTTCTTACTTTAGATTGTGTTCATTTATCCCCAGAATTGGATGCATTTTTTAGGATGAATTTTATACTTTAAATAATCTGAAATCAAGTAAAATTTAAGTAAGATTCATGTGTGTGTTGGCATTAGATGTTATTTTTTAATATATCTAGTATTTTCTTGTAAATGGCTGTTCAGGTCTAGCAGGTGCTGTAGGTTTGAAGTATGCAACTACAACTATGCAAATGATACTGTTTAGCTTTTCAATGAGTGCGTACCTCTCCCAGTGTTTGTGGTTGAGTCCACTGAAGTCGTCAAGCTTGGCGATTTCTTTGAGGTATTGAGACAGTTTATACAGCTCTCTGTCCCGCTCCCTGTTGAGGTGGGCCTTCATGAAGGGTCGGATCTAACACAAATTCACAACAACAAATAAAGAGACAGCTTCATTAAGATCTGTAGTTTATTGTACCAAAAGAAAAGAAAAATGGTCAAGATAATTGTATGAACTAACCAACCTTAAGTCCATTCTGTGGGTTCATAAGAAAGTTTCTTCCAATGTCGTCAAACATAATGGTGTTCTTCCTGTTATAAAATTCTCCGTACTTCCCCCATATCACACCTAAGGGCTTCACCTGCGGAAGCCATAAAATAGATTAAATCAGTGCCATGATGTTTGCACAAAGCAGTAAATGTCCTCCACAAACATCATGAAAAAGAGGTATTCAAGCACATTACAACATGTCGTCACGGCGCGTGCAGTCACACCTAGAGTGCTAAATGACTTACCAGAATGTAAACAAACAAAAAAAAACCCAAACAACAACGATGTGATACATGTCACCTAGGACCATAAGCCAGAAACATTCCCGAGAATTTACATAGTTACTTAGCAAGCACGACGTGTATACAACTTTATCTAGTGACAAATCTCTGACAAAGAGATATCACCACTCTTATAAAATAAAATAATTTATATACTCAATAGCCTGCAGATAGGTGGAGAAAACAGAAACTTTTGCACATAGACCTGGGGCTAGATGTAGGGGTGATTATTTTAAATATGATTAGCATCCAGGAGGGTCTTTCAAATGTATCCTCACTACACATCCATATTATATATGTGCTTCCCATTTGACACCCCAAGACTCACATATGTTTTCATGCACAGTAATCTTATTTAATGAAGTTATGAAAAATTATACCTTCATACTATGATTTACTTATCTTTTTTTCAGGCCCTTGAAGTACAGAGGGGTGGTTCTTTTTAATATTCAATTGTTCCAGCAGTTTTAAGCCAAATCATCTGAAGCGCACTACCAAAATCCTGCTTTGGTAAATGGTGAATGAAATGGGTTTTATATCGCATGTGTGTGTATAACCTGCTCTGAGCATCAACATCGTGGCCTATATCATAGTCTGACAAACTAAGCTGGACAAGCTTAATGCCTAAGATGTCAAGTAATAGAGACAGGCATTGACTTTTTTTATCTCGTCTGATGATTCACTGGAGAAAACAAAAAAAGTGCATTTCGAGTACATTCCAAAGAGCGTTATCACCACATGGTGTTTAGTTAAAACAAGTGACAGCATATCTATTTTTTTTACCACCAAACTCGTCTTCTATTCGTGATTTCTTTCTGCGTCAAAATTATTTGGACACTTTCTACTGTAACTGTGAAATAGAGAAACAGCATTTGCGTTCACATGTTCAAAAAATAATTTGTACAATGAAACAAATTAAGGTCCTGAAGATGTAAAATGTATTTTCCCTTTTACTCAGTTTACTAAACTAGAGGGAAGAAAAGCAATTTGCTGCGACACTCATGATCATCTATTGACTCATTCTCAGATATTGAGCTCTGAGAGAGTGCTCAAAGGCATCAACGGGAGCATCAGGCTAAGGACAGCCTGGACAGAATGAGAACAAATTTCCTGACCTGGTTTGATGTATTTTCCATTTTGGCTGTTTATTTCTGCAGCTCAAACTACTTTAAGCTATTTTTCATTATCTAAAATGTAACACATTTTAACAAGGGTTTTTTAAAAATAATTTCTGTATCAAGTGTGGTGCATATCCTTTGTGAAAGCACCAATTATAAACCAGTGAAGGTTTCCAGATCCAAGGTTTCACATTGTTGACTCATCACATGGAATTTCCACCTGCAGTGACTTCATGACACCAGCTAAGATGACAGGGCATGTTGCTCATGACATCATTAAAGGGTGGAAGTTAGGCTACGTTCATACTGCAGGTCTTAATGCTCAATTCCGATTTTTTTGTCTGCTCGTTCACACTACAAATAAAATGCGACCAGTAAACGTGCTCTAGTGTGAACCCTCAAAGCAGCCCGCATGCGCAAAAGAAGACGTCACACACAACGCGCTGTTTAGACCCAGACCAAACAATATTGTTTGACTGATGGCCCTTAATATAAAGACTTCGGACTTTACGTTTCCCAATTTTTGCTTTAAGTTATTTTGTTATTTACATAATAATGTAAATATGGTAAATGGTAAATGGCCTGTATTTGTATAGTGCTTTACTAGTCCCTAAGGACCCCAAAGCGCTTTACAAGGTGAAGTGTCTTGCCCAAGGACACTTCACCTTGGGCAAGACACCTAATAATGATCCTTATTGCTGTTTTAGAGGAGCGGTGCTGCAAAGGATAGTTGCAGATTTCTGTCAGAATCTGCAGATTATACAGTACAAATAAAATGTTCACGTTTCTCCAACGTTGTCTTCCCAACAGTTTCACTGACATCTACACTGGATGGCCAGGAAGCGTTTGCGATGTCTTATCGGGCGCTTCTCCGGCACTGATAATTGGCGTCTGTCTTGTGTCACTGATGTAAAAGACGGATTTAATGTGACATGACCGTCCAAGCAGCAGTCGCTTTCTAAAACATCGGATATGTATCGGATTCAGTACCACATACGAAAGTGACCCAGATCGGATTTGAAAATATCGGATTTGTGCCGTTCACACTGTCACACCATGATCGGATATGGGTCGCATAGGGTCAAAAAAATCAGATTTGATGCGCTTTCGCCTGCAGTGTGAACATAGCCTTAAACTTTCAAAACCAAACCTTTGTGCACGTTGTGTACGTGTGTAGCTCTCTCTCTCTCTCTCTCTCACTCACTCACTCACTCACTCCTTGAGTAAACAGAACCTCCTATTTAACATTTGGAGATTGCTACAATATGACTGTATTAATATGACTGTAGTGTGTGTAATTAGGTGAATGATGCTGTAGGAAAAAGCACTTTGAGTGGTCAGTTAGGGCAGAAAAACTCTGTATAAGTCCCAGTTGTTACGATCCAATGTTGTCAGTGTTTTGTGTTAGGCGTGACTGTTATGTGTTTCCTGTTTTACTTTGAAGGTCTGTCTTATCTCAGTGTGTTCATTTTATGCTTCCTTGTCTCGTCAGTTCTGATTTGCCCCAGCTGTGTTTCCCTCCTGTTGTCCATTCCCTGATTGCTCCCTCTATGTATTTAAGCCCTGTGTTTCAGTTTGTCATGGTCG